TTTTGATTTTTGGTACCCAAGTTTGCTTGGGTCCATGGGGGTTAGTTTTTATGGTTCCTTTTGGAACCCAAATTTGTTTCACTTTACCTTGAGCTATTAATCTTTTTAAAGGACAAGCATAAGTAAAGTGTCCATTTGCACCACAACAATAGCAAGTAACACTAGGATGATAGGATTGACTTGCTCTTACAAAGGTAGTCTTAAAAGTCTTTTGCTTTTTAGAATAATCAAATCCAATGCCCCATTTGTCATAAACATTTCTTTGAGATTTTAAGATAGAATCAAATTTTTCTTTACTCAAAGTAAATTTAGAAATCACATTCTCAAGATCACAAGCTTTTCTCTTTAAAACCTCATTTTCCTTCTTCAAATCTTCATTTCCTTTCTTTAAAACCTCATTTTCCTTTTTCAAAGCATTATTAGACTCCTCATTCTTTAAAGAAGTAATCTCACCATTTAAAGAGGCATTCTCTTTAACTAAAACCTCATTTTGTTTTGAGAGGGATTCAATCTCATTCCTAAGCAATGAAATGGTTTTAGTAAGGGCGATATTGTCATTTCCTAGTTTCTTAGTGTCATTCATAGAGCAATCAAGAACTTTGCATAAATCATCATAAGAATACTCAAATGAACTTTCATTAATTGAACTAGAAAAGTTAGAGTTTACCTCCTCATCATTGTTGCTATCCTTTTGAGCCATGAAGCAAAGATTTGCAACACCTTTCTCCAAGGAGCTTTCACTTTTCGTCGAGCTAGTTTCATCATCGCTCTAAGTGGCATCAAAAGCTTTCTTCTTCATGCTCTTTTTGCCTTTCTTCAATTTGGGACATTCATTTCTATAGTGCCCCATCTTGTTGCACTCATAGCATTTCACACTCATTTTGGTAGACTCTCCTTCATCTCTTTTTGCAAGCTTGCTCTTGATGTTCTTCTTCATGAATATCCTCACTTCTCTAAAGATCAAGGTGGAGATGTTTTCACCATCACTAGCATCATCTTCACTCTTTTCCTTTTGGTTTCCAACCTTGAACGCAACATCCTTCTTCTTCTTCTCAACTATTTCAACTCCATCATCACCTTGCACTTCTATCTCATATGTCATCAATTTACCAATGAGATCTTCAAGCTTGAGAGTGTTGAGATCCTTAGATTCTTCAATTGCC